TTTACGAAATATTATTATTCATCCAGAGAGTTGACTGAAGATACAGCTAGAAACCAGCTAGGGCTATTCCCAAATCAGGTTTGAGAATAATCCTATTTGTTTTCAGCACCTGGACATGAACAGATTCTCAGTTACTGTGCTGTCCATCCAGCTGGGGGAGGGGGTTCCAGCCCCCATGTTTTAGGGGGCAAACCTGTGGATCATCTATGGAGGATCCCACATCCCATCCAACATGGAGCACAACCTGCCAGGCATCCCACAGATTGCTCACTGCTGATTTTTCTTTTTCAGAGTTTTAACAATTTCTTCTCAAGTGCTCAAACACTGCAATGCAGAATTGGAAGGAATGTCCCGGGTTCAGTGTGCTGCTATCATAATGATCTCACCACAGCATATTTCTCCTCAGGGCATCACATTAAAAATCACAAGGAACATCTTTAAATGCTGAAACATTTTCTGAATATTAAATCATTTTTAATATATTTTAAATTGTTCCTGAGATCCCTATAAATATATTTTTCCTTTTTTTAAAAAATCAACCTGTTAATATCTCAGTGTCTAAGGCCAGGACTTCACAAGCAATTCAAGCCCTGGAATAACTTGAAAGATCCCTCTATTAAATATTGAAAATTCCTTCCAAAGTATAAAATTACAGACATTGTGAATTAGGATGGTAGAAGTAATACCCTCTCTTCCAAATTATCCTATTTTCCTTGTTCAGATGGTGCAATTTATTACAGAGTGAATAATTCATGAGTACTGTGAGACCTTGGCCAACCCTGCACAAAATCAGCTGTGAACAACACACTGTTTGAACTTTAGACCCCTCTGCTGCGGTTCCTTCACTTCCCAGCATCTCTGGTTTATTGGCTGGCATGTTCTTCTCAAACCCTAAATCACCAGAATTTGCACAAGAACCTTCCTGCACACTGACCCAGCAAAATAAGAACATGTAACGCAAGCTAAAATACATAAATGTCAGCCCATGCTCTGAACTTTCAAAAGGAATTATAGCTAATATTTCAAATATCTTGAAGGCACAAGAATAATTTTATCATTGGAAATTAGTGAGATATAGGTGTTCACTCAGAGGTTTTGTGGTTTTCCCCTCCCCACTCAAAATACCTTAATTTACAGAAAAACATTAAATACTTAAAAACATCCCACAAACCCTAATTCTCATATTCTGGTTTCAGGAATTCAGATATCTTTTTAACTTCTCAGAAAATAACAGCTCAAAGATACTGACTTCCCTGTACCTTAATCCTCCTTTTAGTCCAGAAGAGAGACAGGGAAAGGGCAAAAAGGTGTGGAAGGACTCAAGACATCAATCACAATGGCAGCAACAGCCTGAGCTCTGCTCCAAGGCAGGAGAAATCTCACGTCCACCTCACATTTCTGACTCCTGACTGTGAGAAGCAAGCCAGATATTGATGGAGGAATGGAAGGCACGTGACTGAGGGAATCCAGGCTCATTTCAGACATGTGAGGGAGCTAATCCATTGCTGCTGCCTTTTCCTAATATTAACATTAATTCCGAAATTTATCAGTGACTTTGGGAGTAATTTTTCTCTTCTCCATATGCTGGACCTCAACAATGAAAAGCTGAAGCCATAGTAACCCTGATGCTGTTATTAGGGAGAACTGTACATCCACTTAGAAAAAAAAAAGTGGGTTTAAAATGAAACATCAGCACTGAAATGGCAAGGGCGGGGAAAGGCATTTGTGGTGTGTTGTAAAAGCAAATGCATCCAAGGACCAATTCAGCATTGGTGCCAAAAAACAAGCAGGTTGTGACATTCTGTGCTGCTGCTGCCTTTTTATTTTTTCAAGTTTTTAGCAATTTAGGCAGTGATGGCAAAGAGGCCAAAAGGTCAAGAAGGTCACCTGTGATATCCTACCCTGCTGATGTCAGTGGTCCATCTCAGGGTGATTTCCTAGGGACAGGATTTGTCCACAGTTTACTTCTGGGGAAAGTTTCTGAGCTGGATCAAGTTGGCAGGACTCTGAAAAATCATCTACAGCCGTGCAAACTTCCTGCACCTCCATCCTGAGTGTAGGAGACACAGCCATGCCACAGCTATGATCTGTCCTAGATTGCAAGATAATGTGTGGATCCTGATGCCATCTGTTAGAGGTGGGGCAGTTATCTCCTGTTCATCGGGCAGTTTCCTTTATCTCTTCCACAACCAATCCTCCCTCCAGGAGATCTCTGCTGTTACTGTGCCAGTGAGTGCCCCTGCATGATAAAATTCTATCATCTCAATGGGAGATGCTCTGCCCAGGGGAAGAGCCAAGCATTCCTACCTGGATCCAAACTGACATTTTGGGTCACCAGGCCAGCCTTTCCCACTGGATCCCCACAGGAGGACCAGACCCATCTACTGCACCACTGGACCTTCAGAGGAAAACGACAGGATCCCTGATCCAAACAGAACCACAGCTGGCACTGCAGGAGGGCTGAGCCACCATGGAATGGGACTGTGCCACTGCCCTGACCCACGGGAGGTCAGGTCATATTCTGACTTTGTCAGTGTTGTTTTGTATTACTGCATTGTTTATTTTATTTTTATTTTTTCCTAATAAAGAACTGTTATTCCTACTCTCCTGTCTTTGCCTGAGAGCCCCCTTAATTTCAAAATTATAACAATTTGGAGGGAGGGGTTTTACATTTTCCATTTCAGGCAAGGGTCCTGCCTTCCTTAGCAGACACCTGTCTTCAAAGCAAGACATGATCCTAAATCCTACCATCCTAAATTTGTTGTAGGAGAACCTTTCAAAATCACCTGGTAATAACAGCATGGGTGAAGACCACAGCAACACTTCTCTCCCTGCAGGGGCTCCCTTTGGAAAGCAAAGTCTGTGCATTCGGCATTTCAGTGCCCTAACAGTGTTTTCTCACCTCATCACTGAGGCCTTAGCAGCACTAAACACAAATTACAGAGTGACAACACCATTAGGCATTTTTTGGATAAGTCCTACTCCACCCACCTTCCACACCATCGTGCCCTACAGAGGAGATTCAGAAGAGAGGCCCCAGATTTAGGAATTCTATTATGCACACAATTTCCCACAACAGCCCTGAACTCAGGTAGTCAGGTGGAAAGCTCTGATTTGGCAGCAGGAGCAGCAGCAGTGTCTGGGTGTTCCCACAGGGAAGGGAAGCACAAGCTGGGGAGGGACAGGGCCACAGAGCCACCTTGCAGCTTCTCCAGTGGCACCAGGGACCCCACAAGAGAGGCTTTGGGAGATCATCCATGCCCCAAAGAGCCACATCTGAACCCAATTTGTCAGTACCCCATACAGATGGAACTGCTCATGGCGGCCACCCAAATTCAGCACGGCTTTTTAACCAGCAACCCCAAAATCAGATAGCAAAGCTCAGGGGCACCTGCAGTGATGCCCAGCACGGCACAGGGTTCTCCCTGCCTTTGTTTCAGAGTTCCTGAGAATATATCCTGATTTCTTTTACAGCATTTCTTTTGCATATTCCCTGCTGGAGCAAATGATAGCACTATAAATGCCTCAAAAGCATTTAATTTAGATTTAATACGGCAGTAAAAAAATCTATGGGTTCTAAAGAAACACTTAGATGCATTTAATGAGTACATGGGATAAATCTGGGCAAGAAATATTCCATCCAAGACAACACAGTGCCAGGTTTGGAGTTCATTACCTGAGAGATATACTTCCTTACTTTACATTTGTAATTACATTTGCAATAAAAGTTGCAACCCAACTGAATCTCAAACCTCTGTTTTTCAATGTGAATTAGAAAATGGAAATGCAGAAAAGCCAGGAGCACTTCATCAGCTTGTAGTCATTGTGGACCTTTAGTGAAAATCAGCCCCTGGAGCTCCTGCACTTGGCACAGCCGGGACGCTCTCGCTCGCCAGAGTCATTTCCAGGAGTTGCCCCACTGAGGATGAGCTTTAATCAGCAATCCAACCATGCAAAACCTACCCTGGCTCTATCTCCCTCTGCACCTCCCTCTCCCTCTGGTTTTTTTATAGCATTCTTCCTTTTTAACCCAGTAATCTAATCTTCCTTTTTAACTGCAGTAATCACAGCTCTGGATCCACTCCTGGCTTTTATACTGCTGGGAGGTGCCTCCCATCCCCATTTTTTGATCCTGGGAGCTGCTTCTGGGCCCCATCCTGTAGGGGTGCAGCCAAACCTTCCCTCTCCTTTGCAACAGAGCTGAGCAAACAAGGGCAGTGACAAAAAATATCCTATAAGTGCTCACAGCCTCAGTCCCTCCAGGAAAGAGGATGGATGGAGCAGCACAGAAAGATGGGAGCAGTGTCAGACAAGCCCTGCCTTCCCTCAAGTGAGGCAGCAATGGGCTCTCTCTCAAGACTGCACTTGAAAATTCTTGTTTTAAACTGTGCTTGCTGACACAGCTAATAAATGCATTAAGGGCCTTATTAGGGAAGATGGATTTTGAAATGTACACCTTTGCCATGTAGTTACTTTGCCTATGAAGTTCAATTAGCAGTACCTACTTCAGAGAGACCATGGAAGGTGCATTTATAATTAATTTATGTCCTGCATTTCAAGGTACTCAGAGGAAAGACATCCTAGGGGCACAGTATGACTATTACTAGCATGTTTCTGCAGTGGCTTGTAAATATCTGTCCTACTTCTCTTCACTTTTCCTTCCTTTTCACTTAAATTATCATATTCTGAAAAAAAAGCAAATGCTAATTGTATGAAACCTTCAGAAATAAAATGCTCAAATAAGCTTGGGAATTAGATTTTCTTTCATAATTGAGCATGTTTATTTCGGGCAATAGTACATGTAAGCCAGAAGAAAATGGGAATATAAAAATATATAGGATGGCTGCCACATAATAGTTCCTTGCAAGAAGAGGAACAATAAATATTTAATAGAAATGCAAATATAAAGCCATCTGAGGAGCAACTTTTGCCATAATTTCACAGGGAGAGACCAAATGGGGCAGGGTCAACACCCTGGGTTACCCTCTTCTCCAGGGAGCTGGGCCTTCAGCACTTCGTCCCCCTCACCTAGAAAGGATTGAGCTGAATTATTTATGTTTTGGAAATCTTTGGCAGTGTGCATCCATCAGTCCAGCACAGGAGATGCAGTCATTGCCTTCGCTCCAGCCAGTGCTGCCTGACAAGCTCCCCTCACGTGGGGAATGGAACACAACAGCTCCAGCAATTCTCTCCTTGGCCATCTGGGTGCTGGCAGGGGGTGGCACCTGCAGGGAGCACAGCCTGGCCCAGTGGCACCAGCAGGGACAGAAAATTGGGTTGCTGCCTCAGACTCTGGCAGCAGCTCTGGAGGAGCTGTGTCCAACAGAAGGTGAAAGGACTGTGGTGTGTTGTTTTCTTATCTCTTGGATGCCTCTTCATACATGTGAGCCAAATGAATGGGTTCTCTGTAATGATTAGATCCTGCAACTTGTTTAACTGATCCTATCACTGAGCACCTAACAGGAAACATAAATCATTTTACTCCCTGCTTTCTTAGAAAAACAAAACCTCTTTTTTTTTTTTTTTGTTTTTGTTTTTGTTTAGATCCACACAGAATCTTCCTTCAGTTAGAGAAATCTGCATGGAGCACCTATCAGGGTTTGTTCTGGGATGCCCCATCTTCCTGTGCTGCAGCAGCACCTTTATTTTAGAAATGAAGATTAACAGAGTGTAATTTGGTAGGCAAAGCCAGAGCCATCAGCCTGTGTTCATTTGCTCAGAATGCAGGATTAAAGTAGCAAAAATGACTTAAACACACCTTGCTGGGAGCACTGGGTGGTCAGGGCTCCAACTGCTTGACTGAACCACTGTTGTGAGGAGCAATGGTGGGCAGGGCTCATCCTCATCCAAAGTCACCACTGCACTCAGCAGGTTTCTTTGTTTCTTGGTTTCCTAGAAAACAACAAAAACCAACAAAATCAGAGATGGAATTAAAATATTTGTGGCACCATATCTCTGCCAAAGCATTGCAACTCAGAGTAGGTGTTGAAGCCCAACACACTTATATTTGTTAAACATCTACCCAAACTCCTTCATTATTTGAAATGAGGTAGCCATGAGCATAACAAATTTCTATTTGGACCTGATACTGTTTCCTCTGTTTGTCCCCAGTTCTCCCATATGCCATGGAGAGAGGAAGTGCCCAAACTTCTAAATGGGGTGATCTCACCAGACAGAGGTGCTTGAGAGTGACACTGTCACACCCAATCTGGTGTCACCTTGTGACATTTCACAGCAGGCACAGAACTTACCCCAGTTCCCACCACAGACAGAGGGCTTTTGTAGCACAACTTTTAAAAATTTTTTTATTCTCTGAAAAGTAACACAATTGACAAAAGTATTTTTGTGTCTGGCCTGGAAAAGAAAAGGTGACTTCTCCCACTGTCAGCTCTGCAAACTCACTCTGACACCCAAACGAAAAGCTGGGATATTTCTGGCTCTTGTATCTCTGAGAGCAACTAAAACACAGCTTCCTAAACTCTGCAGGAGAGCACAGAGAACTTTGGCCTCAGGAGACTGGTGCCCTTGGACATCCTCTGCCAGGAGAGGGTGCCTTGGCATCTGCAGAGGGAGCAGGGCTTATCCAAGGAGGAATTCAGGCTCTGTGAAACCAGCTGGATAAGGCCTTGAGCAACCTGGTTTAGTGGGAGGTGAGCAGTTGGGACTGGATGATCCTTAAGGGCCATTCCAACTCTTTCACACTCTGGGATTCTCCATCCCTTATCTTTGGCTCTGTCTCCTGAGCTCTGTTTGAGCCCTGTCCCACAGGCAGCTCCTCACAGGCATTCCTGGGGAATTCACTGCTGTTTTTCTCAGGACTCACTGAAGAGTTTAATACACAAAACATAAAGTGTCTCCCTCACTTTATCATATTTTAAAGAATCCTGGTTCAGTTTTGCTCCTGAGCTGTCTTGTGCTGCAGGACCACAGCATGGCCCCATTTCCCTGTGTCTGTATGATTTTCCCTTTGAGCACATTCCTGGTGGAGCCAGGGTAGGAATTCCCATCTGATTACAAGGGCTCTGAACAGCAGCAAAGGACCGACCCCTCTACATTAGGGACAAAACACATCTGAGCCCTTCTGTAGCTTGTGAGGTTCTTCTTTGCCTGACACTGAGTTGGTAAAACTCAGATATAAGGCACAAATGACATTCTGCTACTTCTCTCCTTCTCTGTTCTGCTCCTCTAGAGCAGCCCCAGGGAATGTCTCCACTCTCTAAAAGCTGGAAGAAAGCTGAGGCACCAGCCATGAACCTCTGCAGTGCAAAGATATTTCAAGCCCCCTCTTTTCCTACCTGGGAATGCCATATCCTGGCCACAACAGAGCAATGCCAGGCATTCCTGCCAGCAGCAGTGTGTTTATACCTGTGGAACAGTGCAAAGAAATAATAGTGCCACCAGAGTTATATCTGCATTCAGCATTCCCTGTTAACACCCAGCTTTGATAGCACAACTGTGTATTTCATGGTCTTTCACCAAAGAGCTGTATTTGGATCTTTTTCTTGTTCACTGCTCAATAAATAATAATATTTTTCTTCATGGATTTAAATTCAAATATTCTATCCAAGCTGCATACCTGTGAGTAGTTTCCCTGTAGGCCAACTCCTCTTTTGAGAAGGATTTGGTAACAAGTGGAATGGACGAGCTGATTCCCAGCCAATTATTTATTCAGAGAAACTTCTCCTGCTTGTGAGCAGACTGCAAAGTCCTCAGGTCTGTTTCTCACTCAGAATTATTCATGGCTTTTCTCAGTGACAGATAGTTGGTCTGCAAAAATGTGCATTTCACAATTTTTCACCCGAAGAAAGCTCAGTCACTCAGGGATCTGGGAACGTGACAATCCATACAAGAAATACAACTGTGCTGCACTTTGGACACTGACAATGCAACATGGCCTGGAAAAAGAGCTCAGGATGCTCAGATTCTAGAAAAATGGTTGGGTTTTTTTTGTCTACACCTGGACAGCTTTGTCCTGTATTTCTGTAAGGGGAATGCCAGCAGGATTGTTCCAAGTGCCAGAATTTTAGGTGTTGATAATTAGTCCTTGTACCGCAAACAGCAGATATCTGATGCATTTTTGGCTGTGGAGGTTCATGAACTATCAAGAAAACTGAATTTCTTCTCCAAAGACAACCACTGACCCATGACCTGTTGCTTGTTTCAAACATGTCATATCATTAACCATAAACATGCATTACATTGTTCTCAACATTTATCCCATTGTTCTTTTCCTTAAAAAGCTACAGAAAGCTCCCTATCTCCATGAAGTCCACTGGAAATCTGTTGCATTATAGTCCCTCCAGGAAATGGTATTTTTCTTACTCAAAAATGAACCATAAGCACTGTCATCTTTGATATGGTGCCTCTTATACAAATTTATCCTGCATATTTTTATTTCTCAGCAATAAACATTTGGAGAGTGTGTCTTTATAAACTGCTATTTTATCAAGCTGTATATTTACACAGACATAATTTGCCAGTCCCTTTGTTCACTCGACAGCATCCAATTATCCTCTGAACTCCTTCACAGAGCACTTAATTTCTCACTTTGGCAATTCCTGCTGTATTTCAGTGAACCTTTGTGCCCGAGCTCTCTATGATCTGTTAATAACTCTGGCCTTTAAGAGCTGCAGACCCACTGACAATTCCCAGCACCTTCCCTGTGGCACCAGGGCCTTCCTGCCCAGCTGGGCGCTTGTCTTCCTCACCTGGCTTCTGCTGCAGCCCCACCTTTCCTAACTCCAGAATTTTCTATAGCTATCATTCTGCCCCTCATATAAGATCTCATTCAGTTTGTTTATTGATGCCTGTTACCCTCTGCAAACCTTTTTATTTTTCTTCCTACAAATGCTGGGCTACAATAACACATTCCCTGTAACCGTGTGTTAACACTCAGGCTATTTTTATTTTCCAGGAATGCTAGCACTGACTCGAATTGCTCTTGCCTCAGCACCAGGGGAGGTGGAGAGAGAGGATGGTTTTGCAATTAGTGATGCCCAGCTCTGCTCCTCCTCAGGAGTTGACCAGCTCAACATTTGGAAAACCTCCCTGGAATTTCTTCACTATCCTTACAACAAGTATAACTGGATACAGAATGATTTCCAAACACTTTCATGGTGTACACCTTGAATAAACAAGAAATATTTCAGGCAGTGATTAATATTTTGAGGGGAAAAAAAAAAACCCAACCCCCTAAAAAATGAACAGAAAATCCCTGCCAACTACTTGGATTGGGATAGGGAAGGTTTCATTTATGCGAGGCCCCGATCTATTGTGAAATTGTCCTTATTAAATAGCTGCAGCTTTAAGTATAAATCCACTTTTAAAAATAGTCCTCGAGTGTTCTGAGTCCCTTTTGGACACGCCTCTCCCAGCCCTCCCCAGAGAGCACCTGTTTCACTGTGGCTGGGATGATGTAAGGGGAGATCCAGATGTTAAATGCGAGGCTGTCCTCTAGTGGTGGCAGCGCTCGATCTTTTCCATGGGACACGGGCAATCCAGGAAGGCTGATTCCTGCACATTCAGTGCTACCCAAAAGCAGGCATTTGCTTTTGATGCAAGGTTTTTGCTTTTTTCTTACACCCGTTAGTTTCTTTTCTTTCCTACTTGCTTCATTACCTCCCCTGGGATTTCTTTTTCACTCTATACAAAAATAGCAATATCACTTTCCCTAAAGACAGGGTTTAGGAGTTGGTGAAGTCATTTGAAAACATCCAAAGTGGAATAGTTTCATTTTGAAATCTCATGCTACTTTTACCAGAAATCTGCACTTTCATTTTCACCAGTGCAGAGTAAATAATTAATTCATAGTGTTCAGTACCAAACTGCAAACCCTGCAGCTTTCTGTCCTTTCCTCCACTTCAGCCTCAGGTCAGCAGTGCAACACTGGGGACTCAGGACACACAGAAAATACCACTCTCCATCTCCTGAGCAGCATTTTTCAGAATGCCTGAGCCCTCCTGAAAATAATTTCACATGGCAGGTGGCACTAGGTTGTTCCTGTCATTAATTTTTGTTGATAATTAAATTATTATTTTTAATATAATTAGTGAAGCCTCAGTAGCATGGGTTTGGTTCGGTTCTCAAATGATTTATCTTGTGAAAACCTTGCAGCCATTCTCATGAAGATTCATGGCTCTGTTTGTGTGTCTGTATAGGAATATAAAAGGACTGTCAGCTGCTCTTTTTTGCGCTCTGCCATCCTGTGGATTTGTTGGCATTTCATCAAAAGGAAAAGATTTCTTTCTATATGTTGCTACAAAGCAGCAAGAGGTGATACACAGTAATTACAGACAAGAGACTGAGCAGAGCAAAGGCAAGGAGAAATCCATCTCTGTTCTTGCTCTGTTCTGCTTTTTCCTTCCAGGGAGAGAGCTAAATGAACATTTGATGTGGATTCTTTGGGGCAAGAAAGCCCAGAAATCCTGCACACAAATCAAGATGCAAATGTGCTTGTCAGTGCTGCTGTGCTGCCAGCACAAAAACCCAAAGCCCTGGAGCTCCTGGGAGAACAAGGACATGCCCAGGGTACCCTGGCAGGCAATGCCAGAGCTCACCTTCGGGGTGCCCACACACCCTCAGGCAAACACATCAAACCACAGCACCTGGAAATGTTTGTTTTGTGAACTTGGTCTAAAAACGTCCTGGGAACCACGAGAGCTTGGGAAATTTTCCATCCTGCCAGTCCTTTCCCTGCACTATAATGCTCTTGCTGCCAATCCACAGTCTACAGAAAACACATTTGTTTTACCCTAAGGCTGTTTTTCAAACCCCTGGATGACTTCAGGTCACCTGAATGAACTGTGAGGTTTTGTGTGAAGTTTCATTTTTCTTGCTCCAAACAAACTGATGGAAAACACAAAGATGGGTAGAGCAGGCACAGAAATTGATGG